CTTCCTTATGCTTCTGTAACCCTCTCGAGACTTTAAACTACAAGAGGGCAGAGACAGATCTGTCTTCTTCACGGATTCTTCCCTAATGTCTAGAAGGCCTTGCCTCATAAAATAGATTCTTAACAGTATTTCTCAGATGAATAAATCTGAATGAGAGTTATTTGGCAAAGAAGAAAACCTTGGCCCCCTTAGTTTGTCTTAAGATCTCAAAAATCAAACAGTACTTTTTTGATCTCCGGCCTGATCATCTCTCTCTAACCAATAAACTGTGCTCCTCTTGCAACTTTTCCTTTCTCTCATTCATCTACCTCATCCAGGAGTCTTTCTCGGTTTTGGTTTGCTGTCTTCCCTGAAAGGCAAACTGAAAAATATTTTTTCATTCTTGCCCTGCTTGTTTGGAGGAGATCCCTGTAAACCTTGCCTCCGTAGGCACAGTTCTCACGCACACCAGGAGCCTGCTCTGACCAGGCACACGCATACTGCCCATAGGTTAGCACTCCTTGGAGAGAGACAGGCTGGTGAGCAAGACCAGGCCGTCTAGGAGAGATGAAAAAGAAGTGCTGGGTGCCTTTTAACTCATAACTGGCAGCTGGCTTTGCAAAGCTTTATAAAAATAATCTCAGTAGAGAAAAATCAACATGAGAATGTTGCTAACAAGTACGATACTTAACACAGATTAAAATTAAAAACTTGAAAGGAGAAAAACACATTCAAATTCAAATAAAAGAATCTTTAATTACAGTACCATCAATTTCTCTGCACCTGAGCAAAATTATACCAAACAATCCTAGGAGAGAGATGAACCAGCTATGCTTTTTTCTTGAATTTTTCTGTTGTTGTGAAATGTATGAAACAAACAATAACAACAATCAACACCTCTATTGGTGCCTGCTATTTGTGCGGCATTTTGCATTATGTATATGTATTTCTGTATGAGGTTAGTACTACTGGGATCCGCATTTTACACATGAGCAACCAGAGGCACAGAGAATTAAGAAAATCTCCCGAGGTTACAAGGCTAGAAGAAGAGCCAAAATTTGAATTCAGGAAGTCCAGTAACATATTCCACGCTCTTACCCACTAGACTACACTGCGTCTCGTATTTTACATACAAATGAATGTATATAAAATTTACAGTTTTAAAAAAAACACAACCAACCATGTACCTGCCGTCTAGCTAAATAGAACCTTACCAGTAAATATCTTAGAAGCCCAGTGGATCCCTCCTCAACCACATATCCCCTCTTGTCCCTGTCACCTCTCCCCCCAAGGTAACCATTATTGTGAATTTTGGGTTAATTCTCTTGCTTTTTGTTACAGTTTTAATATCAATATCCCTGAATGAATGATAGTTGTTTTAATATCAATATCCCTGAATGAATGATAGTTTTCCACTTCATATAAATAGAATCATAATGTATGTATTCATCTATGACTTGCTTTTTAAATTCAACATTACGTTTTTGAGATTCTTCCCTGGTAATGAGCACAGCTCTGGTTCATTCCTATTTTGTGCTGTAAGTATTCTATTTTTTGTTTATCCATCCTACAGTTGGACATGTAACTTACTTCCAGTTTTTGTAATAAAAACAATTCTTTGGATATCTTTTTGCCTGACTGATGATGTAAGAATTTCTCCATGGAAGTTGGTTGTCAAATTTTAGCAGCATCAGAATCATCTGGATGGTTTGTTAAAAACACAAATTGTTGGTCCGACCATTGGAGTTTCGATTTGGTTGATCTGGGGCGGGGCCTGAGCATTCGCATTTCTAACAAGTTCTCAGGTGAGGCTGATGCCTTGTGGCCAGAGAACCACCCTTTCAGAACCACTGCTCCCTGGTACAGACGTAGCAGTGGAACTGCTGGGTTATATGAGTGTGCTCAGCTTTACCAGGAAAGCCAAGCTCTCTTCAGAGCGTTTCTAAAAATTCATATATCCATCTGTAGCTGCTCCACATCCTTGCTAACTCTTATTATCAGGCTTTTAAAATGTTGTCAATCTAGTGAGTAACCATATCTCACAGTGTTTTTATATTTCTCTGATTATGGAGGTTGAATATTTTTTCCCACATACTTATTGGCCATTACTTTTCTTCTGTGTAATGACAGTTTGGTTCTTGCTCATGTTTCTATTGGATTCTTTGTGTTTTCTTTACTGATCTGTGAGGGTTCTTTATATAGTATGGATAACAATCCCTCTTCAGTTATACCAGTTGCAACCTTACTTTACCTGGACTTGATTTTGGTTTATGATATGAGATAAGGATCAATTTTTATTTTTTTCTACTGTCTTAATTACTCTGGCTTTGTCTTAATATCCAGTAGGGCAAAACCCATCCAGCCCTACAGAAATGTCACAAACATTCTTGGCATTTTGTTCTTCCATATATATCTAAGAATCAGCTTGTTCCATAAAAACTCCATTGGTATTTTGGTTATAATTGTGCTGACTCTATAGATCAACTTAGGGAGAAATGTTATCTTTACAATGTTCTTATTAAAGAATATGTACATGTTCATAACAGCTTCTTATATTTTAATTGCTGCTGCATCTCCGTTATGACTGTTTTGTATTCCTAATACTACTTATTCTCCCATTTTTATTAATTTTTCAGAAAACTTATCTACTTTGTGAGTTTTTTTATTGCTTTTTAAAAGAAACGGATTTTTTTGGTATTGTGGTAAAACATACATAAAATAAAATTTGCTACTTTAACCATTTTTAAATGTACATTTCTATGTCATTAAGTACACTCACGCTACTGTGCAACCATCACCACCGTCCATCTCCTGTACTTTTCATGTTCCCCAACTAAAACTCTATACCCATTAAACACTAACTCCCCATTCTTCTTTCCCTCTAGTGCCTGGCAAACACCACTCTACCTTCTGTCTGTATGAATTTGACCACTCTGGGACCTCATGTAAGTGGAATCATACAGTATTTGTCCATTTGTGGCTGCCTTTTTTCACTTAGCATAATGTGTTAAAGGTTCACCCATATTGCAACATATGTCAGAATTTCCTTCCTTTTCTTTTTTTTTTTTTTTTTTTTTCCTTTTTGTCTTTTTTTGTGACCGGCAACGGATCGCAACTCTCAGTGTCGCGCCCGTACCGGACCGGGACCGGCAACGGGATCGCAACCCTCGGTGTTGCGACCGCACCTCGCTCAGCCAGTGAGCCGCCGGTCTGTATGTGGGATCCGAACCCTCGGCGGGAGTGCCGCCGCGCTTCCCAAGCGGCGCACTGTAGCAGTGCGCCACCGGGCCGGCCCAGAATTTCCTTCCTTTTTAAGGCTAAATAATATCTCATTGAGTACATTTACCACATTTTGTTTATTCATTAATCCATCAATGGACATTTGGGTTGCTTCCACCTTTTAGCTGTTGTGAATAATGCTGCTATGAACATGGGTATGCAAATATATGTTTGAGTTCCTGCTTTCCCTTCTTTTGGGTATGTACCCAGAAGTCAAATTGCTGGATCGTATAACTCTATGTTTAATTTTTTGAGGAACCACCATGTAATTTTCCACAGCGGCTGCACCATTTTATATTTCTACCAGCAATGTGAAAGCATTTCAATTTCCCCTCATCCTTGCCAACACTTGTTATTTTCTATTTCTTTGAAAAAAAAAAATAATGAAGATAAACTGAAGATAAAATTCCACTGTTGTTTGGCTCCTATTGGTGCTTTTGAAAAGGTAGCTGTCAGTCTAAATGCTATTCCTATGTATCTGTTTTGTCCTTTCTTTCTGGATGCTTTTAATACCTTTTGGATGGGGGTGGTTAAAAATTTTCATTTTCATTATAAAGCACCTACTTATAATTTTCTTTTTATTTCTTCTGCCTGAAATGTGTTAGGCTAACAAATTCTTTAGATTGTTAGGCTTTCTAACAATTCTTTAGTATCATTCAAGAATTCTGGAATTTTTTCTTCCCATTTTCTATAGTATTTCCTTTTGGAATTCTATTTAGAGCATCTTAGATCATCCTCCTAGTTCCCTAATCTCATTTCATATTTTCTCTTCTCTTGTCTCTCTGAGCCATATTCTGGATTATTTCCAGATCAATTTTCTAGTTCACCAATGCTCTCTTCAATTGTTTCTAATGTGTTTAATTCATTGAATTTTTTTAAGTCCTATTTTTATGTTTTTCATCTCTAGAATTTCCATTTCCTTATTTTTAAAATCTGCTTAGTCATTTTTATAGTCTCTTCTCCTTGTTCATATTTTCAATGCTTTTAAAAAATTTCTGAAGCATGTTAAAATATTTACATTTTTTACTGAGGAATTCAATAATGAAGTATTTGCAGGTCCAATTCTGCTGTTGTTTTTGCTGGCTTTTACTCTTGATGACTTGTTTCTTTGTGTTCTAGTTAAAGCTGCTTTTCTTCAGAGGAAATTTCCGTTTATTTCAGAGGATGTTCAAGGGTTGTTTAAGATTATTTACATTGCCATTATACTATAAAGGAATACCTACTTTTATCTTTCTTTCCTTTCCCAGTATTTTGCAAAAGAAATAATTTCCCAATGTTGAAAATCAATGCTGGGGAGCATTTACCACCACTCATCAGCAGGATAAAAAATTGGATTATTCCTACTTTGGAGGATATAAAGAACCTGACAAAGATATGCTGCTGAAATATCTAACAAATTAAATTCTTTACCACTATGTGTAGGTTAAGCTTATGATGATTTTTATTTGGATATTGAAAGTACCTCTTATACGAAATGCAGTCCCTTCTGCAGTTGGTTACTGAGTCATCCATGTCAGACTCTACTATAAATCATGAAGGATGAAAATTGCACGATTAGGGCTGGCTGGTTAGCTCAGCTGGTTACGGTGTGGTGTTATAACACAATGGGCAAGGGTTCAGATCCCTGTACTGGCCAGCTGACAAAAAAAAAAAAAAAGGAGACTGCATGCTTACTATTTATTTCAGTCATGCCATGCAAGACTGCTTGGGGAACAACTCCACAATCATAGACATGCACAAACCTGTGAGGGTCATCTGGATCACAGTTAGGAAGAAATTGAGTGATTGCTTCTGCTACTTCTTCATTTGATAAAACATCCCAGAGTCCATCAGTGGCCAAGATCAGCACATCATCTGTTCCATGATCATATCTGGAGAGCTCGTAGACTCTTACCTGAAAAGAACAGGAATATTACTACTTAAGAAACTGGGAACACACTGTTCTTCCTAACAAACTGACTTCTGATTCCTCTTCCCTTTTCCTGCCCACCCTCGTGGTTTTCAGGTATGTGTTTTTTTTTTTTTTTTTCTTTCCCTTTTTGTCTTTTTTACTGACCGGCAACGGATCGCAACCCTCAGTGTCACGCCCGTACCAGACCGGGACCGGCAACGGGATCACAACCCTCGGTGTTGCTCCCGCACCTCGCTCAGCCAGTGAGCGGCCGGTCTGTATGTGGGATCCGAACCCTCGGCGGGAGCGCCGCCGCGCTCCCAAGCGGCGCACTGTAGCAGTGTGCCACCGGGCCGGCCCTTCAGGTATGTGTTTTAAGGTACTTGATTATACAGTGAGTTTTGTGGCCAGGGGTGGCCTCCTCTGGAGACCTGCTGTACAGATATATGGGGCCTGATACACAGCTGTGAATGAGTCCAAGAAGTGGGCTTCTAATTGACAAGGAAAAAAATTAATCAAAAATGTAATGCCTGAGGTATAGCTGGAATGGTGGCTTATGAGGGCATATTGTGGTAGCCAGAAGATCAGCAAGGGGTGCGCTTGCTGGCCGTCCTTTGCATATTAACTCAGCAAACACTTAAGAAGGCCCTTCCCTGTGCCAGGTGCTACAAATGCAAAGATGAATAACATTTTCCTGCTTTAGAGGAGCTCTCAGTCTGTGGGGGAGAGAAAGCCAACCTACGAGTGTTAGTAGCGCTGTATGTATATTCATCTAGGACTAAGGAGAGACACTTACTTTATTTATCGTACTCACTTGCAATGCTTCTTGTCTACCTGCTCTGAGGCAAGGGGCTGACTCCTCTCATGTAAGTATGGGGCTCTGACACTGCACTCAGAATTGAGGACCCTGATCTAGGCTAATTCAAAGGACACATGCTCAGTGTGAATCTCCAAAGTGTGTCTTTTTCTGACAAACTTTCTTTCCTAATTTCTAGTACCTAAAATGACTTGGATATTTTAACATCCACCTAAGCTCCTTAAAGAGAATGGAGCAGCCTTGGAAAAACTAATAAAAATAAAAATCAAGCCTCGTTTGGGTTAGTTCACAACTCCATGTTCACCCTGCTTCGGTGGGGGTTGGGAGTGCAGGGAGGGGTGGAGAAGAGTTTGGGGTTTCACTGCTGTTCCCCGATTTAGCAGAGTCGGCCCCTGCCTGCAGCACCTCATGAAGTAAGAACAAAGCAGGTCACTTTAATCAATCTCCTTCAACCCCCTCATTACTCTATCTTATTTTCTAAAAACAAGTCTGAGTGAAAGCTATAGGTCAGGGTGGGGAGTGGAGTGGGGAGGAGGCTGTAGCACACGCCCCATTGCACAGTGTCATTACGTCACCTCAGATCTAGAGACAATACAATTCTAAGAGGCCTCCAGACTGTTCAAATCGAGGTCTTTGAAAGCCAAGCCTCCTGTGCTTTAGAAAGGTTTGCCCAGGCCAGTGATGCCCTGCCCTGGGGCTGGTGCTATGGGCTAACATCCCAGTAGCAGAAAGCAACCAAGTGCCTACCCAAGAGCTCTTGGTAAATTATGCCACATGAAGAGCAGCCAGCAGGTGCCAGGCCTGCAAACTTGATGGCAACATTCAGCTACAGGCCAGGACATGAGCCATGCACAGGAACATGAATGCAGGGCACTGCACTGGCTCTTCTCAAAAGGCATGTTCACGTACTGCTAAGCTTACATTCTAGAGAAGGCACGGAGCCTTATGAGCCAAATTAAAGAAAACTGGAAGGGGAACTTCACTTTCCGGCAGACCAGAAAGTCCCAAATGCCAGAATTCTATCCTCAGGCCACAACTAATGTGGTCCATTTTTCACTCTATCAGAAGCAACCAAACCCCCTTTGCTTTATGTGGTGTGATTCCTGGTATGGGAGAGCAGTGCTTCTCCAATGTGAATGTGCACAGGGATCGCCTGGGATCCTGTTAAACGATAAATGCATGAGGGGATGGATACACTAACTACCCTGACGCCTTTATTATACAACATCCATATGTATCAAAACAACAAATCGTACCCCATAAACATATACAATCACCACGTGTTAATTAAAATAAATAATACATTTTAAAAAGCAGATTCTCAATCAGTTCTGGGATGGGGTTTGAGATTCTGTGGTACTAACTTCTTCCCAGGTGATGCCAGTGCTTCAGGTCCATGGACCACACTTTGAGTAGCACGGCCACATAGGAATCCTACCGGCCAGGTTTGTAAACAAGGAGATCAAGGGCTCAGTGGACTCTGTGATGCAGGCTACAGAGAGGATAGCAAATGTCACCCTGAACTCCCAACTTCGATGTCCTAGCTCACTGTATTGTTACTTCCAGTATGCAGTAACTTGGCTTAGGAGAGACTGCTAGCTTCTCACTGGGGTATATCTACAATTAACTCCTTTGATAATAATTTGAGCTCCATTGAATAGAAAATATTAAGTGACAGGAGGTGGGGAGATGCAGATATCAGGTGGCCCAAACTTATACTTTCAGCTGAACAGGAGATTCCCTTTGCCTCCCAGCCCTAAGAGAGAGGTTTCCAGGTCTGAAGATAACCCCCATTTAATATCAGGATCTGCTCTGTGATTAGGGTGCCAAAACCTCTTCAAAGTGCTTTCTGCTGACCCAAGAAATTGACAGGTTGAGTTGTTCAAGCTGGAATTGTCCTGCCCGCTTCTCAAATGGAAATCTGGCCAGTGAAATGGGTGTGGGTTGATACAAACATGTTAGAAAATGCTACTCTTCAATTCCATCAATAAAGGGAATCCTTCTCTAATGCCACTATTCACATTTCCATACACGGCTCCCTAATGCAGTTTCATTAGCCAACGTGAAAACCCCCTTCAATACCCTTCGCCATGTAATTTTTATGTAAATAAGAAAAGCTAGTGGCAACCCGATTCCCTGAGGCATTCTCCAATTAACATCCTTTTAGGTTTTTACTGCTACCCTTTGTTTCCTGCTTTTTAGCCAATTTCCAAAGGACTTTGCCAACTTTCCACTTACAACTTGTGTCATATACATTAACCTGTGATGCAGAACATTGTGAAAGTGCTTTCAGAAAAACTGGATTGCCTTGCAAGCATCCCCCTGCATGCTCATCCTCCCCAGCAGCAAGGGCTTTAAAGGATTCCAGCAGGTTCTGGAGTCCTGACCTTCTCCCTGAAGGGGCTGTGGACCCTCCTCAACCAGACCACACTCACCTCCCCAAAGTTCCCCTGTTCAATTCCTTCAATAGCTTCCCAGTGTTCCTGGAAGCCTCACATCAAACTGATGGGCTCTGAGGATTCCCAGGACTCAGACATCTGGAAGGTCTCTGCCGGCCCCTGGAGGGGAGAGCTGTGCTATGGAACACCTTTGTCTGAAGGGGGGTGGAGAATATGGTCAGGGCTTCGAACGGCTCCTTCCCGTGTTTCCATCTGCCAAGAATCCTGGAGATTCTTGCAGTTTCTTAGAGCAGCCAAAAGATGGGGCCTGTATGGACTTGTCACCTTCCTGGTTTTGTTACACGTTTACAAAGCACTTGCTAGGTGCCAACTATTTCCCCACACACTGGGGGTACCACGAACAAAAGCGACAAAGTCTCTCAAAACTTCTAAAAGATTTGATGAGATAGATGCACAAATAAAATACAGTGTCAGAAGATGACCGGTGCTCTGAAGAAAAGTCACGCAGGGTAAGGACAGTGACAGAGAAAGTCACTTTAAAAGATGTGGTCATGGAGGGTCTTTAGAGAAGGCGCCTTCTGAACAAGTGAGGTGATTTCCCACAGGTCCCTTCCTGCATCTCTCCTTCCTTCTTTGGGGTATGTGCTATTCCTCTGGATTAAGAGTGTATGGACATGGAATTAAACTGGTGGTGAAGGAGTGGGGCTGAAGGCAGTGGGATGCCACCCCTGCTGCCAAAGCAATCCTGTGGAGGACCAGGGAGCAGCCACTTTTCTTTTCCCTGTTCCTCTGCAGGCATAATCCCTTCATGTCCACTAATACTTATACGTACACGTTCACTTGACTGGGTTCACCTGACTGTCTGTTCCACAAGAGTATTCTCAAACTGTAATGAGTTTAACAATCACCTGGGGTGCTATTTAACCAAATTAAGATTCAAGCGTTCCACCTTTAAACATTCTGGTTGTGCAGATCTGATTTGGAGCCCAGGCATTAGTGCACTTAAATAAGGACCCCAGGTAATTCCAATGCAAGGGGTTGGGGAATTTCACCTTGAAAACCACTGTAATAGGCAATAAACCCCTCTGGAGGTATAGTATGTCTTGTCCTGTTTGTTGCTATGCCCAGAACTGAGCACACGGCCTAGCACTTAGTAGCTACTCAATAACCAAAAGAAGCATTTCCCCTGTTGGACATTTACCCTTTCTGGCTAACAATGAGCACCCAGGGAGTTGGTCATTTTGTTTTCCCTCCAAAATTCAACTAACTTCTGGAGGCCAGAGATCCCATTCTGCATTTCTTCTGTGGACCTAGCAGTACCTTTTACAGTGTAAACCACAGCTGATAATCAGGACATATTTGCTGAGATGAACAATAAATAGGGAAAAAAGGGATGAGGAAAAAAATCAAACATAAAAGATCCATTCAGAAGACACCCTAATTTCTTGGTGACCCAACAGATTTAGCTTGTTAACTCTGACACTTCCAAACAGGCACCAAAATAGCGTTGGTGGTATAGTGGTGAGCACAGCTGCCTTCCAAATAGTCACGCATATGTAACGTGCTGATATTTATGAGAAGTAGCAAACTCTTTCCTTTTCTTTCCCGGTCCTCAGTGGAGCTGCCAACAAGCAGAAAACCACTCAGTGCTGGGGAGCGGGAATAAGTCTGGGGGCAACAAGAGCCTTGGCTAATGCGCCCTGAATGAGCGGAGTGCTGACTGCTCTCACAGGCTTCAGAGCACTTAGAGACACCCTTGCTGTCATCCCTGGGCACATACTTTACAC